TATTTTTATCATAAGATCTTTAAAAAAAAAATCACTGCATATAAACTGTTTTGGATCATATGATTGAACATCATGGAAGAATCACAACTTCCAAAGAAATCCAGAGCATCTATTTGCTGAAAGTGAGATGCCTTTAAAAACATAACCAGTGCAGCACGAATACGTGGACACTTATTTCACTTAAATCACTGAAGTTTAGGCCTCTGAACTGAGGCATGGTTTTAGGATGGTATGTATCCTACAGTGAAAGAGCATAAAAATAGTAAAAGACCAGAACAGCCACTGTTTCTAACCCAAAAGACTGTGGAAAAAATACACCGTCAGTAGGAAGAAAGAACTTCTTGAGGTTTTGGGGGATTTCTTTAAATTGTTTGTGTGGAAAAGGTCAAATAGTTGGAAGGAGACAAAAAATCCATTGTTGAACCCTGCTGCTCTCTGCTACCATAGCGGCTTTCACTTTGGATTTCTAAAGCAATGAGGTCCAGTCAAACTAAAACCACTATCTCCTGCTGCATCTTCTGGTGTCAAGAAACAAAATATCAATTTTTCTTGCAATACCAATCACTTGTTCTCTACAGTAAAAGTTAGAAGGTAAGCAAGAACTGCTTGCACATCATTGAAAAATAACAAAGGAGAGAAACATACTCCCTTATGGTTTATTTAAGAGTAGGACACGGGAAGGGTGAGGACTTGATAGATTTTTCCAAATTCTTCAATACCATTAGGAAAGTAGTAGGAACTCAAGTGCAAAAGCTCTTCTCAAATAAATGTAAACAAAGAACTTGACTCAAACATACAAGAAATGTTCCCTCTCTCTCAGAAAGTCAAGAGACATACCCAAAACTTACAGTTCACTACTCTCTCTTCCCTTCAAAGAAAGACAACAGGCTGTACCACCTACTCAAGGACTCCATCTTCAAAAAGATTAAAAAAAAAGCACCATTTCACAAGGGATCATGATCCCAAAAAGAGCAGCTAAGCAAACTCAGTGAGCAAACAAATCTGTACTACCATATGGAACACAGCACGAGAGGAGGACAGGAGCACACATACACTTGTCCTACTCTACTACCAAGGAGGACAGAGGAATTAAAGCCAAAATATATCCTACAAAACCCTAAAAGAAAACAATGTACCCAAGTGATGCATTTTACTTTACACAGTTTTTACACTCTTTTTCACTTTCAGATGGCAGTGGCAGAAGTGTAACAGATACCACATGGAAATGAGAAGAGATCCTCTTCCTTTTGTTACACCTTAGACTATCAGTGTGGGTGCCTTGCACCCTCCTCCCCATGCCCAAATACCAAGAACTGCACATTTCACAGGGGATGTGGGTGCACTTCTCCTCTTGCATGAAGAGGAGATGAGAACCCCACTCCCTCATTCCACTGACAGCGTAGCTTCTTCCAATACATAAAATTTATTTGTAGCATTTCAAGTTCCATGCTTTATGGCAGCTACAGAAACAGGTATGTTTTCTAACGTTATTACATTAATATTCTACTCCCAAACATTGTTAGTTGTGTCTTAAATCACGTTTTCAGAAAAAAGATATTTCTCTGAATTTGTACTCTACGCAAAGCACTTTGATACCACGCAAAAAGGACCTTGAAAGTAAGTTCAGTAGTACAGTGGTTAGAAAATAAGCCTGGAATTAAGAAATCTGGGTTACAGCCTCTGCTCTACCGCAGATCTCTGACATCATGCTCACAGCACCCTCACTTTTCAGACTGCACCTTGACGCTTGAGCGTGAGCTACACACATCTCTTAGCTACTACAGACCCCTGACCTAAATATCTGCATTTCAGTGGAATGGGCTGAGCAGGCAGATCCGTGTCCTTGTGGCCCAGTTTTTCTCTCTCACCTGGGGACTACACAGCATTGGTTCCTCAAAGAAGCGAGCTGTGACTATTGCACTAAGTGCTACTGAAACAGCCCAGTGCTCTTCGCCAAGGTCACGCAAACACTTCAGACAAAGTAACATATGCAGATGTGCTAGAAAACAAAGCTAAGTATACAGTTAACGCCAACAGTATTAAGCATACAGCACTTATCAGACACAGTGAATCACAGAATCATTAAGATTGGAAAGGACCTCTAAGATCAAGGCCAACCACTAACCCAACACCACCATGCCCACTAAACCATGTCCCGAAGTGCCACATCCACACGTTTTTTGAACACTTCCAGGGATGGTGACTCCACCACCTCCCTGGGCAGCCTGCTCCAGTGTTTGACTGTTTGGGTTCATCCTATAACAGATGAACTGAAAGCATGTGCAAGAATGTGTTTGGCTGTAAATTATCCTCCATTAAGCACTCTTGCAGATGAATATGCTTCCTTTGTGAAGAAGTGCTTATTTTTCCTAGAAGAATGTTCTTCAGCATGGTTACACCGGACACGAATGTGTATCCTTTTTAGGAACTGACATATTGTTTGAGTTTGAAGCTGGACAATACTGCTTGTCTCAGTAGTTAATGAAAACATCGATACTCTCTAACCTGCATTATGGATTACAGGAGAACCGTGGATTGCTACAGACAATGTAGAAGCAGAACCAAACTGGCCTGTACCACAGATTAGAAAAGTTTTTAGTTTTAATTAGACAAAATTCAATTTCAAAATTCTGGATTTTCCAAGCTGTGCAAGCTTTGGCTTGAATCCGTCTGCAATGCCAGTAGTTTGTTACAAAAGCTAAAGATGATTTCTACAAGGCTTAGAGTGTGTCACTAATGTCAGAGCATGTCACAAGCCTTTTCCACTGCTTCAGCATGCTCCTGTCCAACTTGGGCTTCGTAAAAATATCAATGTGTGTGCTGGTTTTGGCTGGACTGACGTGTGCAGTTCCAGTGTCCATTCTCTCTTCTGTTGCCCTTGGAAGTGCAGCTAAACCAACAGAGGAGATGAAGCAGCTTTCCTCTGCAGAGATGCTAAGGCCAAAACTTTCCAAGACAAGTTTGGAAAAAAAAAGGCTGAAAAGAGATATGACTGAGGTCTGCAGGACTCAGAAATTACATGAATAACATAAATACAAAACAGTTTTTCACCAAATCATGCACTATTAGAACTAGTGGCACTTGTTGAAACTAACAGGAGAGCAGTTTAAAGAAGGATAAAGCACACTTATATGTTAGGTTGTGAACTCCTGAACCATGCTGCAGGATTTGAGTCTCACAGCATCAGCAGGTTCAGGAAAAGGACTTAAATGTTTTCACAGGCAACAGGCCAAAACAAGTAATGAAAGAAACTAGCTGGAATGCATCCTCCAACATCCCTAACTCAACGACCACAGACACTAAGGAAACACAGAGGCAGTGGACACCAAGAAGCTGGCCAGACCTGCGTCCCCTCGCTGATATTTTGTATGACCACTGTTGGAGTCAAACTACCAGGGTGGAAGAACTATTAATCTGCCTCAGTAGAGTATTTCTTTGGTCTTATCCTCTGGAAGACTCCAGTAACGTAGGCCACCTAACGCTGAGTGATGTTTTTGAGGTGCTGGAGGTGATGTTACCTGACTCCTGCACATGTACACACACAAACATGCACACAGAGTTAAGTGCCAACATGGGGCCTTCCCTTTACCTTACCAGGATATTTCATAATCCAAACCTGCAGGAAGACAAGACAACCATGACCCATTCTTGTAGAGTTTCAGGTGAAGCCACTGTGCTGTCAGGCAGCAGGAGGGGAGAGAAGAGTTACACACTTTCACGAAACACTGCTTTGTACATCCCAGGGACACGCTCGCCAAGGACAGGATCGTATTAACACACCATTAAGTATTTTTTCAGCCTGTGATCCTAGCTTGCAAGACTTGAACTCAATGGAAGTTTCAGGCTCAGTCAAATGCCATGTTCCAAGATTTCCAGCTGGTTCTGGCAAATTGCACCAGCTGGGAAACCTTCCCAGAATCAGCACCTGTATTAGGAATCTCTTGCTTTCTTTAATTACCTGCTTGGGG